GAAACCTATCACATCACCCCAGACGCCTTACAGCAGATAAAACGTCCGCTACTCCCAGGATCAGCAGTGATATGCAAAACTACGTCAAAGGACCGTGACCAAGAACTTGATTTTTTTTTTTAAGATTTTGTTTATTTATTCATGAAAGACACAGAGAGGCAGAGACAGGCCGAGGGAGAAGCAGGCTCCATGTGGCGAGCCCAATGCGGGACTCGATTCCGGGACCCTGGCATCCCGCACGGAGCTGAAGGCACATGCTCCACCCCAGAGCCCCCCGGGTGCCCCAAGAACTTGATTTATTTTTCAGGGCACTTGAACAATTATGACACGAACTGGAAATGATCTTGAATAACATGCCTCGGCTCTGAACTGGTGAGTCAGTCTATATATATATATATATATATATATATATACATCCCCGTGACATCAAAATGAAGATTATCCAATACATTCTCGTTACAATTCAGAAGAATGCTACAACTCATCCCATAAATCACTGCTTTAAAAAATAATAAAATAAACCAGCTCTAAAAAAAGAGTCAACCCATTTGCAAAAGGCTGGGATGAGGAAGGCAGAGTGACTCATAACATCCAACAGCTTGTAGCCTCCAAACCATAACAAGCGTATAAAGCCAGTGGGCCCCGCATAAAACAAAATAGAGTCATTGTTAGCGCTTTGACCTCTGAGGCTCAGATCTGAGCATAACCAGGGCGTCAAATATCCTCCGAGCCCTTGGAACAATTTTACAGATCTGTGCCTTTCGTGTGTGTGTGTGTTTACTCGCCCAGCTTCCCGGCTAAATTTGACATCTATATTTATTCATCGGGAAAAGAACATTCGCATTTAACTATTTTCCTAACTCCGAAGAACTCTTATCATTCGAGTCCACACATTTCCAATCCCACGCCCACCGATGCTGCCATTTTGTAAATACTTTTTCTTTAAACACAGGTAACAATATTTTCCATCTGCCATGCCAGGGACTCCACCCCCTTCACCCCAATTCTTCCTGCTATTGGACAACTGTGAGGCGGATAGAACATTCTGTGGCCAGTCCTGAGGTCTATTCCAGCTGGGGGGGGGGGTGCCTGTGGCCCTCAGCTCACCTCCTCCACCTGCTGGCCCTGTCCCTTCCTCCTCTGCAATTATGACAAATGATCAGTGGACATCTGCAGGAAACCAGGGGGTTTTGTTTTGTTTTGTTTTTTGGTTTTCTTTGGCACATTTGTTGTCCAGAGTCAACTACGTCCTTTCAATGAGGATGATGTTCACAAGGTCTGGGTGGCGGGAGACTTTGGAAGGCGGTCCTGCAGGGTCTGCAGGGTCAGAGCCCCGAGATCTGCAGTTACGGGGCCCTCAGGACACGGGGTCAGGACTCGAGGGCCAGAGCTAAGCCCCTTCCTTGGGCCCAACAGCCCTGGAAATCTTCAAGCATCTCGGGGCCCACGCCTCTCACATCGCACTCTTTGGTGCCGGGAATGTGCATGCGAACTGCGCGAATGCAATTAAAAACAAAACAAAACACCCTTGACCAACACAAAGAACCACAAAGAACGGGGCGTAGGTGAGCTTGGGCCCCCCGCGTCCCGCAGTGGGACTCGCTCACCACGGAAGTGCTCCTCCCATTGCGCTGGACCCTCCCGACGGGACTGTGGCTGAAGCAATCTGGAATGTTAATCAGCGAAGCAGGACAAGGACTGAATCACCCCCGGAAGCAAAAGTCAGGGGACAGCGGACGCACCAACAAAACCCCGCGACGTGAAACACGGCATCTGTTTCTTAAAGGCCTCTCCTCCACAGACACCAAGCAATCCTTGCAGGCTGTATCCCGGCGGTTTCTCCAAGATCCACCAAAATAAGAATCCAGCCGCTCCCGCGGGAGAGAAGCGCAGTGTCCGCACAGCCCACGAAACAACGCACAGCCAACGGAGAGACTTCCTGCTACCTTTCGATCAACAACTGAAATTTTTTCCGAAGACACAAGTCTCTTCTACGTTCTTTTCTTTTCGACTGCTTCTATTTAAAGTTCTTCCTTAAGTATTTGACTTAAAAATATATTTTTAGGTATCTACTTACGCATTAATGAAATTAATTTAGCGGCCCTCTTTTTTTTAAGATTTTATTTATTTATTCATGAGAGACACAGAGAGAGAGGCAGAAACACGGGCAGAGGGAGAAGTAGGCTCCATGTAGGGAGCCCGACATGGGATTCGATCCTGGATCCCGGGGTCACGCCCTGGGATAAAGGTGGCGCCAAACCGCTGAGCCCCCCAGGCTGCCCTTGGCGGCCCTCTTAAAGCCAAAAAGGAAAGCGCCCAATTCCAACAGGCCACCACATCGGGAAGGAAGAAGAAACCACAGGGGTTGGGGGGAAGGAGACCCAGCCACTGACCCGGCCGTGAGCCCACTCCCCGCACCCCGCGCACACGCGGCTCAGGCACGTCCAGACCCAGGGCCAGGGGCCACCTGCCACCCCGCCCCGCACAACGCGTGCAACTTCAGGAACCTGCCGCTCTCAGGGAGGGAGGCCCCCCGTGCTGACGGGGGCGCAAATGGAAAAGGAGGCTGAGTTCTGCAGCCGGAGTCCGTCGGCAGCCCTCACCCAGTGACCCAGGAAGGCGACAGCACTGCGGCCTCCAACACGATTGCAGGGCAGCGCACCGGCCGACCAGGCAGGTGTGCAGGCCCGCGGACCCGCTGCCGTGCTCTGTCAACCGACGTCACGTGTGCTTCACACGCAACTGCTTTCCCCCTGCTCTGAAGCAACAAGGCCCCGGGAATCTCACGCTTCCACGATGGTTGCTGATGCTGTCGTTCGGGACGAAGACTCGAGGGTTCTCTCCACGTGAATCAGGACCGCGGCTAAAACGGGATAAACACTGATTTAACTTTTTCACGTTTCGAGCGGACACGCCCGGGGATTTTTAAGTTCCACAATGTGAAAACACAGAGATTTCTGGTCCTTCCAATCTTTGGCTCCTCTGAACACTGGAAAACAAGTTGATCCATGCAACTGAAGCACGAAAGGTGTTCTGTGTGGTTACGGGACCTGGAGTCCCAGATGACCCTAAAGAACGCTCCGTCCCTCGTCCATCAATCGGCAGCGACAGAGCAGGTCCGAGATGACACAGCTACTGCGCGGCCGGAGGGGAGGGGGGCTGACAGGCCAACGTGCTGACCGTTCGACTGCTCCGTTCTTCAGTGTTCAGCCCGGGTCTAGCGCGGTTTGCAGGGAAGGGGAAAGGACCACAAATCTCCCGCGGGCCAAGACATCAACGAGAAACCCGCTAAGCCCTTTCTAAAGGCCTGTCAGACACGAGGTGTTCACGGAGACTCGGACTGTGTGAACCTGGGCCGAACGTGGCTCTCCACCCTCTGGGCGGTGGGGACGTAGCACTCATTCCTCCTCCAAGAGGGATAGCTGGGGGCAGGCCAGTGTCATCCAACAGGGAAGTGCACCCCAAGTCCACGGCCATGAGCAACTGCTCCCCGTGCAGCCAGCGGCGGTGGCCCACACGTCCTGCATGGTCCCAGGCTCCAGGAGCAGCTGTGAGCTGCGTCTAGGCCAGTCCCGTGGGGCTCTGACGGCTTCCCACTTTGGTGACACAGCCGGGGTGTCGACACTTGCTGTCGGTGTAACACGGACACAGCAGCCGCATTGGGGGAAAGCATGAACGCCAGGCTGCCACAAGGAACACAGGACACAACGTGCAACGAAGACCAGGAGGGCCGCAGGGTGAGGGTTCCTCCTAAAATCACAGCGCTTGGGCACATATTTTCCACTGGAGAGTCCGTCCCTCCAAACGACGTGTCCACGCTGCACCCTTCACCTGCCAGCTTAAATCTAAGCATCGATCCCAGCTGCCGGGCCCGCGTGCCCCCTGCCTTCAGGTCCTCCGAGGTGCCAGCAGAGCCCTCGTCGCCTTCCACCAGCCGGAATAGTGTCTGCTAAGCACACAGAGTCCAGGAAACAGCTTCCTCTCCTCCCACGGGACTGCTTTGCGTTACAGAACATCACAATACCCTGCAGCACCCCAAATTCGAAACAGAAAGACAGAAAGATGCTCCGTCCCTGTAGACCTGAAAGGCCGGTAGCCCCGGGCCACAGTCCCACGAGCATCCTTCCTGGGCCTGAGCCTGTTGGAAGGGGAAGCACCGAGTCCCATCAGCTCCTCCCTGCTGATGAAAATTGGCACGAGCGAGCGTACTTTCTGGCTCCCCGCCCTCCGGGAACCGTTACACACGCGCACACACACACACACACACACACACACACACACACAAAAGTTCACCAGGCTGCACCGCTCCGTCCACGCAACCCGCCTGGGCCCGCAGGCCGGGGCACCGGGGCACCAGGCCACAGTCGGAACCGGAGCGGCTGCTGCTTCCAGGGACCGCGGACCCGACCTCCAAAGAGTGACAGTCGGGCGCGTGACCCGGGTCAGGAGCGCGGGGCGCCCGCAGGACCCGCGCCCGGACCCCGCGGCCGCCGCACCATCGCGCAGGGTCGCCGCGGGGAGGCCCCGGCTCGCGGCCAAACAACAAAGGCGGCGGGTGCGGGGTCGCGGGGTCGGGGGGCACAGTCCGGGCCGCCCCCGCCCCCCCCCCGCGACCCCGCGACCCGAGTCCGCGCGAGCACAGGCCGCCGGCAGCTCGGCGCTCAGGCCGCGGACGGGCCCGGGCGGCGGGGAGCGCACGGACGCGCACCAAGGACACGGCGGCGGCAGGCGGCCCCCCGCCCCCGCCCTGCACCCCCGCCCCCCCCGCCCTGCACCCCCCCGGGCCGCCGCAGCGCCCCGACCCGCCGGCTGCCGCAGCTCGGGGAGGGCCCGGCCTCGGCCGCGGGCGGGAACAGGGCCGCGCGCCCCCCCCCCCGCGCCCCCTGCCCGGCCGCGGCGCCCCCCGCCCCCTCCCCCCCGCTGCCCTCCCCCGCCCCCTCCCCCCGCTGCCCCCCGTCCCCCCCGCGCCAGCGCGGCCGGCCGGGCGCGGGGCCTGTTACCTTCCGACAGCTCCAGCTCCAGCTCGGCCAGCCGCGCCCGCACCTCCAGGGGCAGGGCCATGCCCTCCAGCCCGCGGTCCGCCATGCTCGCCGCGCCCGCCCGGCCGCTCCCTTTGTTCCAGGCCGCGGTCTGGCCGCTCCTCGCGCCCCGCGGACCCGCACCGAGCGCGGCAGGCCGGGCGCGGCGCAGCGAGCGCTCCTCCCCCGGCGCCGCCCCCGCGCGGCCCCGACGCCCGGCCTCGCGCCCGCGCCCCCGCCGCCCCCGCGCGCCCCCGCCCCGCCCGCCCGCCCCGCCCTAAGCTCCGCCGGCCGCGCTGACCGCGGGGGCGCGCGGGGGGAGGGGAGGGGGAGGGAGGCGGAGGGAGGGGGAGGCCGGGAGGAGGGACGCGAGGGGCGGGGGCGGGGGGAGGGGGGGCGCTCCGGGAGGGGCGGCGGCGGGGGCTGAGGATGCGGAGGGGGGCGCTCCGGGCGGGGCGGGGGGGCTAGGGATTTGGGGGCGCCGGGAGCGGGGGCGGGGGGAAGACGGGGGGAAGGGAGGGGCTCGCTCCGGGAGGGGCGCCGGGCGGGCGGCGCTGAGGATGGAGCAGGGGCGCCGGGAGGGGGGCGCCCGGGCGGAGGGATGGGAGGGGCGCTCCGGGAGGGGCGGGGGGCGCTGAGGACGGAGCAGGGGCGCGCGGGGCGGGGATGGGAGGGGCGCCGGGAGCGGGGGCGCTGCGGGCGGGCGGGGGGCGGGGGGCCAGGACGCCCCGGTGGGCGCGCGCGGGGGCGGGGATGGGAACCGGGGACTGCGGAGCAGGACGCGCGGGGGCGGGGACGGAGCGGCGGGGACGCGATCGCGGAGCGGGGGAGTCGGCCGGGAGCGCGCCGGGAGGGCGGCGGGGGCGCGGGCGGGGCGCGGGCACGCGCGGCGGAGGTGGGGGCGCGGCGGGCGGGCGCAGCGCGCGCTCCGGGGACGCGCTCGGGGACGCGCTCGGGGACGCGGGGCGCGCGCCCCGGCCCAGCCCAGCCTCCGCCTCCATCTCCAACCGGCTTAAAGCAAAAATACCTGCTAGAGCCGGGCCGCCTGCCGTGCAGGCTTACACGGAGGTCTTCTGCGCCCGGAGGGCGGGTTGTTTTCCGTGAATACGTGGGGGGAAGGGCGGGTGGCAGCGTGGCCGTGGGCAGGGGAGTCGGGAAGTCCCTAATCTGGCTCTAGAACGGGCCAGCCTGTGCCCTTGGGCTAATCCGTGCCCCACCCGGGCTGTTTCTCGGCCTGGGAAAGGAGAAGAAGGGGACCCACCTAATCCCTGCCTCCCCAAGCAGCCTCCTGGGCTGTGACCCGATGGCACAGGGCCAGGGGACCCCGCGTCCCCAGACCCCGGGCTGCCCCGTCTCCCGAGGCCCTGGCCGCGAGGGTCTTGGGACATGGCTGGAGGCCCTTTTCCTTCCATTCCCCGGGCCTGCCCCTTGGAGGGTCACCTCTGTGCCCCAACTACCAAATCTGGGCCTCTGTCCTGATGGTTTGTCCCCCTGGCCCACTGAAGACCCTTCCTGGGATGCCCGCCCCCCCATCCCAAACTCCACAAACCCAAAGTAGGCCAGCTCCTTCGGACTTCTAACTATTTCCACCATTTCCTTAATTATTGGGGCTGGAAACTCCTGCAGACTCCCTCCCCCAGGCTGCACACACACTCTGCTCCTCCGTCCTCCCAAGGCCATGGCAGGAGGCCTGGATCATCCTAGGTCATCCCTGTGACCCCTCCTAGCGCTGCCCTGCAGCGTTCCTTACCTGGTTCTCCTTGACCGTGTCCTTGACCGCATCCTTGACCAAGGGAGGGGCTGGCCCTGGCTCCCACTTCCCAGCTCGAACACAGGCTATAGCACGTACCGCAGCGCCTGCTGAATACACGCGCAGCCTGGCCAGAGACCCGAGGCCCTCCCCACCTGACTCCAGCCTGCAGACCCCACACACCATCCCATGCTCTGGTTCCCAGGCCCGGGTGTTCGTCTTCGGCACCTTTGCCCTTTGTTTTCCTTGGCACTGGTCTTCACCGTGTGCCTGCACCCCTGCTCTGCCCACACCCTCCGCCTGCCTCCATCCCTAACTCCGGAGTCTCTCCCTCCCTAGCTCTCTAGCTCTCCTCCCCCTCCTCACTGTCCTTATCATATTTGACCTTTTGTTTATCTTCCACATTAGCGTAAAGCCCTCAAGACAGAGGCTTCCTCGTCTGTGTACTTCCCCTTGACGTGACAGTGGTGACAACTGAGAGAGGTGCTGGCATCTGTCACGCAGCCCTGTCTTCTCGGTGGGGAGTTGTGAGGGGAGACGGGCACATCCACACCGAGCTTCAGAGGAGTGAACCCCAAGCTCCTCGGCCTCGTGTTCCGTGGGCATGAGTGCCGGGGACGCTGGGAGCCACGCTGGATGCCCCATTGCTGTGTCCTCTTCGTGACAAACAGACCACCGAGCCGTGGCGAGCCCTAAGGCAGCCCGTCATGCTGCGGGCAGACGGCTTCGCAGAAATCAGGGGCAGCGGAACCAGGCCTCATAGCCCGTGTCCGGAGCAGAGCCTGGGCTCCCTCGTAGCAAAGCGGGACGGAATGTTCCAAATGGTGAGTGGCATCAAGTGCCCGCAGGGCGGGACGATGTCACAATGAAATATTCCCTTTCCGATACAGGGTTGGGTATGGGACCTTTGTGGGTGAAGCCGTAACAGTCTGGCGCCAGAGAAGACCATGATTTTGCAGTAAACACACCGGTGCTGTTCTCAGATCCCCGGTCAAGGGCTCTTGGTTTCAGCAGCTCCCCGCAGACGCGCACATGGCGCGGGGGGATAGCACGCGGCCCCCTACAGCCTGACAGACGTCTGTGTCTGGAGATCTACCCGTCCTCCCAACTCGGTGCGGCCACGGCTCCACAGCCCGTGTCACCATGCAGTGCTTTGGGTAGCCGCCTGCGCCTCCCCGCCGTCCCCTGAGCGCACCCGTTACCGATCACCCTCGGCTCTGCCCGCTGCCCGCCTCGGGCCTCGGCGCACCCGTACCCCGTGCCCACTCCTCGGCGGGGCTACCGGGCGGCCCCCCGAACAGCTCGTAGTGCCCGGCTCCGCGGTGGGCAGCGGCTCTGTGCCTTGAGCCCAAGAGTTCCTTGGTCTGACATTGAGGATCCTCGGGTCTGGCACCGTTTCCTCCCCCACCTGCTGCTCGCCTCCCACCCAGCACCTGCCTGCACCTGCGGAGCGCCTACCTTGCTGCCCCTCGTCCTGCCGTCCCCTAACCCTTACCCCACCTGTGTCCCTGCCAGTCACACCCGCTCTCGTCCGCTCCAACGCCGCTTCTTCCGTGAAGCTTCCTTCCTAACCCCGCTGGGAAGACTCGCCACCTCTTGAATTGCACTCCGCTGTTCCCACCTGTTCCTCCGGGTTTACCTAGGACTCCCCGGCGCCAACTAAGGCCCGTTTCTCAGCGTGCCCCCGGGCCTTGCGGCGTGGAGGGACCACTTCCCCGCACCCGCGCTCCAGGCCTGCAGCCTCAGGGGACGGGGAGCGTGTGAACACCCCGTTAGACGTGCGTGAGTGTCTGCGCAGAATGGCCTGGTTCGAACCTGTGTGGGGCGGATGTAACAACACCCTACAGAGGTTTATTACAAGGAATCAGATAAACACTAAGGGCTGTTGGCTTCAAACGTCGGCCCAAAGCCCTGAACGTTGTTGTGTCATCGGAGTTATTTTAGGAAGCCACCAGAGAACCCCAAGGCCGCCCCCTGAGTGGTAGGACGCCAATAGCACTATTAACACACTGGCGTGGCCTAATTTATCAAATAAGCCAGTCTGTCTAACAAAACACAGAGGGTCCACGACCCAGCACACAACCATCGGGCGTGAGCAGGCGCGTGGGCTTTGCCAAGCCGAAGGCAGCCTGGCCCAGGCCAGAGGACGGGACAAAGGGTGGACACGCGGCCAGAGCTCTCCCCACCGCTGTCCGGCCCAGGTACATGTCCTGGGGACCTGGCTGGGCCCGGAGGGGCGGCCGCGTCACACTAGTCGGCTAATCATCGAGCCGGCTGAGGTCCCCGAGCCTCTGCTCCGTCTTGCGCCACTGCCTGCGATGGGCCGTCGGGCACCACCCCGTGGCCGCCCGGGACGGCACGCCTGGTGTGACCCGTTCCACGCCACTCCTGGCCAGTTTGGGAGAGACCTGGGCGGCTCGGGCGTGCCCCATGAGGATGGCACAGGGCGCTGAAGGGAGCCCGTGGGGCCACGTGCACGTGGCAGGGCGGCCGGCCGGCCGTGGGGGGGCGGCCCGGGGCTCACGGCTTGCCTCACACGAGCGTCTGTGCCAGTCGTACCCTCGTGGCCAAAGCTGTCCTGCAGAGGAGCGCTGATTACCTCGTTCCTTATTGATCCATGCGGGGTTCGGCCTACGCGCTTTCTCCGGGAATCAACCTGGCGAATCCTCACCCGCCCCAGGTCATGGGGGAGCCCGGCGGTTGCATACTCCAGTGGGTTTCCTGGGGGTGCCTGAATCACGAACCCCGAGAAGTGGGGGGATCAAACCAGCCTTCGAGGCTCAAGCTCAGCTGCACAACTATGTGTGGGCCTCGGTCTCATCCGGGGCTAACCGTGCTGTTGGTATTCAGCTTAGGTGCACGGAGTTGGGTTTCAAGACAGCAAAAGAGCGAAGAATCTGTCACGGGAAGTTTGGGTTTCATCGGGCAGTACTTAGAAAGCCGCTGGAACCCCGAATGAGAAGACTCCGTGCGCGCAGGGCATCGCTAACACTTGGAGACTGTTTTCTTACATCGTTCCAGAACTAACTAACGTGCGTGTGACTGCGTTGGGGGAACCGTGCGGGCGCTTGCAGCCCGCCATGTGCTGTCCTCCTCAGCAAGCAAAGAATCACCCCCCCCCCATTGACCTGACTGGGAGCGGGCGGACGGGCAAGGAAGAAAGAAGTCATCGCAAAAAATCCCACAGCACAATTACTTTGGTTCCCCGCGGCACTGCCAGCCCTGCGGAGGACTCGACTGTGAGTCAAAGACGCCCAGATGGAAAAACAAGTGTGTGAAATTCATCTTGGACAAATAGCCAGAACGTTTTCTTGTATACGTTACTGCAGATCAATATGCAATTATCAATGAGGTGATTATTTCTGATCGCGTTACTGATTCGTTGATAACTTGTACTGGTGCTGCTGTGGTCGCACAAAA